TTAATCTTAATCAGTAACGTATCTTATATTTAGCTGGATTAAATAAACTACGACTTATGTTACGTCTTGTGATATTTGAATGCTTAATGTTGAAAGCAGCAAAATATAGGCTTGATATGTGCCCAGAATGTCAAACATGATGAAAGAAAGAGCAGGGTGGGTGGCAGAGCAACTTTCGGCCGGAAATGCCTCATTTTTTGGATTAAGCAGTCACCTGACACGGTTCCTCATAGTTAATGCAAAGTCGGTTCAATTAATAAAAATGCAAATCAGATAACTCATCGATGTTTTGAAACTGACCGGATTACGCGGTTCATAATAAGCAGCAAAATTGCTGCCAGAGTTCAAGAACAGTGATCAATGAGCGCTGCGCAGCATGGTGCAAGGGCATTGCTTTCCCCCGATTGAACACTGAACAATAAACGCAGATCGTTATTAAATAGCGTCAACGACATGGTGGACGACCGACTAATTGCCGTTTGGTGATGTTTGAATGACCTTGCACCTCGTGACTCTCACATTGGTTAATCGGTGAGTATCAAAGCGAAAGACTGACATCGTCGAAAGGCCAGGCTGTCACTACGCATGCTTTTCCTCTTTTCATGTAGTGTCAGATGAAATCGATTAACAGCACTTCTATTTGAAATTAATTGCAAATTATTCTAATAAATTTTTGCAACTCATTTCAGTTCAGCGTCTTTTTCAATAAATTGTTAATTCACTGGCTCTATACACAAGCGAAAAGACAGAGAGGATGGCCAATGCTGGAATGTGTGCAGTTACAGTAAAGAATCTACCATCTGTCTGCTCATTTATGTCTAGAACCAGTGAATCAATATTCTATTCCAATATATGCAGTTGCTGAATTGAAGTACATACATGCTATTAGACATTACATCATTTGCATAATATTGCTACCCGTTTACGGCTCATATAGTGAACATTAGAAGTGCTTCGTGGATCCACCAAAATTAGAGTAGGCCAAAAATTTAATCCTGTATTCGCATCACAAAGAATAATGAATGAACAATTGCATGATCGCATGATAACCATATACCATGAATGGCATTCTCTCGCATCATTACAATAAAACGAAGTTTTTTCGCGGCCGTTGATAGGGTGGCAAGCAAGACCATGCAGCTGCAATTATCCATTCATAATCATTTTCTTCATTGCTTTCTACCTTACTCTGGAGTTATTGCAACACTGGCTATAAAGAGTTCACTTTTAACTTTGCATAGATCTACTAAGCAGCGCAAATGGGGAACACCTGTACAATTCCGATCCGACACACGTGTGAAAGAATTGCGTCTGTATATTCGTATATTCGCGGCGATTGGCATCTCGGTAGTGATTCATGTCAGGTGGGAGCAGATGGGAGCTGTCGCTTAAATTCTCGAGACTTTCTCATGCTTTCAGGAGAAATTTGTCATTGAACCGGATATGCTTATTACGATTACGATAGAAAAATAGCTAAATATACTTCCAAGCGAGATATACAGGCATTTAGGTTAGAGCCTGGCATAAAACACTTTTATATGTGAAACTTTCAGAACTCAGTACGGTGTTCGTTCTCAAGAATATATTGAAATAGAGCAATTTTTTAAGAAATCTTCCGTCGTGAATGTGAGCATACATTGTAAGTGTCAATGGCTGTTTACGACATTAATTCTAATGCCTACATGACAATATTTCAATTGACCGAATACCATTCTTGAAACGTGGCGAAACTTGAAGTTTCACCTCACAGAATGACCTTGTTTAAGACTGGCATTCAGCCAATCGAAATTTTCTTATTGCACTGTAACATTTAACATCTGGGCAACCATGTGCAATTTATACACCTTTACTGAATTCCAATGATAGTATTGAATTGCTTACTTCCAAAGAAAAGTGCCTAGGATTTGTAAGTCGTTTAGCGCAGGCCTTATATCTGCCACTTTGAGTTCTCGATTTTTTGATTTGATTGGAGAAATTTTTTTCTAATGATGTATAATTCATATCCGTGAGTGAAACCCAACAAATTCTGGCCTCAAATTAAGCCGGCCTTCCGAAACGTTTGCAATTTGAAATAGCAAACTGCCTTCTTGATATAACCTGGAATAGGACATCACATAAATATTATAAGCTGCTGGCATGCCAGAGTATGCAAAATGATAATGACTCCTTAAAAATCAAATTTTACGTCGTATCGCATCGCCCTCTATCTCCTAGTTGTTTTAGGGCCATTTAAGCAAGCCACAACTCAATGATACTTGAGCCACCTCCTGATGAAACCTGGTTTGTAAAAGTTATTCGTTATTCGGACATTCGAACAGCCCATGACGTTTATGTAGTAGCAAAGAGTGAGTATCAGCTCCTCAAGAATTGTTCTTGATGGCCACGAAATGGCTCTAAAAAACAAACTGACCCGAGGAGCACCTGGCACTGCAGATATTCAAGTGTCATAGAGCCATGGTCTGTTTCATTGGCCCCACTAGGCAATTAAAAGCAGGACCGAAGCAATACGCTGTGAAATTTGGTCTTAGGGGAATAATTGATTATTACTGTTTGACATGATAATTCTCATAATCTGTTTTCATGTTTGATTCATAGCCAAAAGAAAACGCTTCACTAGTTTGTTAGTGCCCCAGTTTGCAGGCAGAAGATCAGAAACTCGTCACAAATGCCTCCTCAACCCCGTTCATTAAACTGCTGCATCAATTTTCATCCAACATTAAGGGACCGTTGTTGAGGAAAGTTTTATATATGTATTTTTCTGTGAATTACCCCATGTTTATGAAACGATTACGTAAAGAAATGAATAATCCTGAATATCCATAGCATCTCTACTTTAATTTTACACTGACACGTTCATCAGCTTAGCCCTCTAGCAAATTCAGTCATTCTCAAAACGTCATTCAATGCTACACACCTTAAGAAATGACTGGAATCGGAATGGCCCAAATTTGTCTCAGAAAATGACACCTGTTATATTCGATGCAACTGACGGGCAGAACGTTGACTCTGTTCGAAATGAAAGAAACGGCGTATGAAGCCGATATTGTTTGACCTTGGATATAGCAGGTGAAAGAGTGCTGGCATTTGCAAAGAAACGCAAATGACTGTAGGTTGAAACGATAGTATAATAATTTTAGTTTAAAATCTCACAAATTTCAGTTTCAGCCAACGATTTACTTGAAGATGTTTTCCGGCTACGGAAGTTAAATCAGTATGAGAAATATTATTATGACTACTGTCCCAAAGTTTCAAGGCAAAAACAGAGCTATGAGGAAAGCTGAGAGAACAATAGACACGTTTTGGTGATGGAAACGACTGCTGCCATCGTCTAAACTCAACAAATTGCAAGCATACTCACGGTGGAACAAAACGCA